ACATCAATTCTATAATAACTAATACAGATAATAATATATAAGTTGATATTAATAATATCATGGATATGATTTATATTTGACGAAGAGGTTAAGCAAAATCTAGCAAAATATCTCTCTCCCTCTCTCTCTCTTTCTCTCTCTCTCTCTATATATATATATATTTTTGCAACAATTTTTATAATAATCTTAAATTTGAAATTAAATTAAATTAAATTTTTTTAGCAATTAATTTTTTATTTAAATAGCTTTATAGTAAGTGCTAAATGGAGGGTAGTGATTGACAAAAGTTTATGCTAGCAACCTTTTTTAAAGATTTAAAATTTAAATTTTATTCAAATTAAAAAATAAAAGATAAGATAAGAGAGTTCAGGTTTATTGTTGTATTAAATTTGTGCTTTTCTTGCTTATTTTTTGTTTGAGCTTTTCTTGTAATTTTCCTGCATGCTTTTTGAATAGATTTTTTTTTTATTTATTCTCTTCCCTTTAGATTGAAACGCCAGAAGCGCACAGATACAACTTCAGGAAAAAGTTAATTTTTCTCTTTATAATCGATTACCTATTTAAATTGTGTTTGAGCATTTTTTTGAAAAATTGATTTTTTAAAAAATCGATTATGAAGCTAATCCCAACACGCACGAAGTCATTATTGGTTAAAGTGAATGTTTTCTGAGAAGTTGTAATTACAGGTTGAGTTTAAATAGATATGTTTTCATAAATGTTGGAAAAACTAATCTACTCCTTTAATTTTTAATTTACTTATAACTCAACTCCTTAATTATAACTCATTATAACTTAATTTTTCAACTATGAAATCGTTGCAATTTAATTCTTCAATATTGACTCACTTATAATTAGGTCTTTATTTTTCAAAATTTTTAAAAAAATTATTTTTATCAACTACGAGGGATAAAATAAATGCTCATATCTTATTCTAAAATATTCTCCTCTACTCTTTGATGTGTAATTTAAGCTAACATAAAAGAAAAATTGAGGGATTGAGTCATAAGTAAGTCAAAAATTGAAAAGACTAAGTAGCAGCACGTCATAACTGGAGGATTAAATTATAAGTAAATTAAAAGTTAAAAAATTAAAAGATTAATTTTTTTAAATGTTACTTGAATTAGTCTTTGATTCAACAACAAATTGGGAAAAATCAAGTTGTATATTCTTCATGAGATGTACAGCTTCGTCTACATAAATTCTTTCCATAAATACTATTCCAACCTGCATTCTTCAAAATTATCAAATTTTAGCCATGGGGCTTCTGCACAACTGGACATGATTATTTTACCTGTGATTGGATTTTGGTCCTAAATAGTAAAAATACCTTTAAAGGAATCTTAAAATTTTGAATAGAAGAAGTATCATTTTTTTATACTTATTCTTATTTAATAAGGTATTTTATCTTAAAATAAATATAAGTAATTTATTAATTATGGAACATTTGAAAAAAACACATTAATTATACCTTAAAAATTAAAAATAACCTATATTTTTAACATTTAACCATTAAAAAAATATCTTATATTTTTTAATGAAAGGAGTATGTTTTAAAAATAATTATGTCTTCTGGTCCCTACTGTGAGGCACTTTTAGAAATATTCTTTTAATACTTATATAAGGCATACTATGGGATATTAATTAGCTTTTCTAATATTACCTCGATTTAAACTCATTAACTATAATAGATAATATAATACAAATTTAAAAAAATGTTCATTCAATAGAGAGTAAGATTTGAAGCTTATTTATATTTTTAGATGAAAGTTATAAATTAACTATCTCTCTTGGATTCTAATAAAATCGTTGAAGATGCTTTCTTATATGATTGATCGCTCTCATGTACAAATCACAGTAATACATTATTTAGAGTATTTTAAATGTCCAATTCACAAGAAAGTTACACTTTTATTAATTTAAATAATTAATAGTCCAAGAAAAATAAATAAAATGGATAAATTTTGATGAAAATATAAAGTAATAAAAATAAAATCAAAAAAGGATAATGATGAAAATACAATCACTTGAAAACACAATTACCCTAAAGGTTACTAATTTTTACCCTTCAAGTTGACTCTAATCAATTACAGTGATAACTATGTTTAAAAAATATCCTAATATTCTTTCAAATTATTAGTTCTTTTTTAAGTAGTGTTGAATTCATTCCTACAATACCCAAACAACTAATTAAACTGTGAAGCTATATTTTAAGTTACCATAAATTTCTAAAATTAGCCCTAGCCTAGTTATTTATGTTTATTTCTCTAGATCTAGGTTCTCTTTTCACCTCCTAGTCCGTCAAGATTACTCACAGATTTGATTAAATGATGGCCAATCATTAAATTAATATAAAGAATAAGAAAAATAAATATAATTAAAAAAATATTCATAAATATAAATACAAAGTCAAAATAAAAGAAATAGAAAACTAGCTCCCAATTGGGCTACATCCCTACCCAACTAGATAATTTATAAATATATAATAAAATTAAATAAAATCGTTCTAAAATTTGCAATCATAAAAATGATCACAGAGAAATTAAATAGTAGAAAATAAATAATTATAAATTTAGAACTCCTCAATGATCTCGCTTTCAACCTTCCAGGAATGCTTCTACAAGCTTCAAATATCTTAAAGAGAATTCTTTAAATACTCAGATAAGTGATTGGATAATTTTTTCTTTAATGGAAAAGAGTATTTATAATTAAAATGAAAACTCATTCTTTTTTTTTAGTCGATGTGTGACTTTAACATATATAATATATATATATATTATCACAACACCTAATCTTAGGTGCTGCAATCCTTGGTGCACACCACGCACGCACGCGCCACATACACACACACTCCCTCTCTCTTCTCTTTCTTTTGTTATTGCATTTTTCTCTTTCGTTTCATTTATTATTTTCTTACAAAATATAAAAAAAATATGAGTAGATTTTATATTAAATTTTTTTATCTTATAAATTAAATAAGAAGGAAGAAATATATAAATATTATTAAACAGACATAAAATCTTAATAAATATAATTAAATCTAAATTAAAAATTTATATTTTTTTAATTATAAAATATGCACTTATCAATGACCGATAAGATCATATACTAATAGGAATAAAGGTAATAGTATGTTCAACTTTTAGATATAATTACTATGTTTTTAAGATCTTACTTAATTCCAATTAAACAAAATGAATCATAAATAGGATAATTGAAATACTTCCACACATGCATCAAAACTTCCTCGAGCTTGCGGCATCAAAACCAAAAGGGACTTGGTTTGGTTGCTTATCCAAGTTGATGAAATGTAGACCGTTTAAATTTAAAGTTTTATTTTATAGTTTTTGTTTTAGTTTTATTAAAATAAAAACTATAAAAAAATTTGATAAATTATTTTATTATCAATATGGATAGTTCATACTTAATTTAGATGATCTAATTTAATATTAAATTTTTTATAATTTTTTTTAAATTGATTATGCAAATTTACTCTAAGTCAATTTAGATTTAAAATTTTTAACTTATAATTTTTTTAAAAATAATTCTTTGAAAGCATTATTTGGAGATTATTTTTATTTTTAATATTTTTTATTAAAATAAAAATTTATAAAAAATTGATATTAAATTTAGATTTTATAGAGTATATCTAGATAATTAATTTATAAAATTTTTTAATATTAAATTAAACTATCTAGATTTAATATGTATTATTCATATTAATGATAAACAAATTTATTATAAATTTTTATTTTAATTAAAATAAAATAAAATAAAAAATTATAAAATAGACATTTAGATTTGAACCTTATATTTCCCTATGAGCACTCATGGGCCAGGACACCAGGTTCAAGCAGAAACGCGTCTTACCGTACTTATTTCAAGTTGCAATCTCACATTTGTGGTGGTCTTCATCTCTCCACTTTCCTCCTCTGCTTCCTCCTTCCATCAGGTTCCGAGAACTTGCGGACGAGGGCCATTCTAGTGTTATTTAATTCTGGATCTTTTCCACTTGTTCTGCCCATCTGGATCTCATCTTCTTTCATCATTCATCTACAGGATGCAGCGTCTCTCATCCAAAATCTCAGAATATGATTTGATCTGAAGTCTTATCCACCTGAAGTTCACGATGCCGGCCAGCGCCGCTCTCTCTAAAACGTATGGAGGTTGCCGGGATTCGGGTCAAGTATAGTTGGATCATCTGTTTCGTCCTGGGGACTCCGTTTCAGAAACTCTTTGGATAGTGGAACTTGTTGAAGATCGTCGTGTGTACAGTAGCGCGAGCTTCATGTTCTCCGTCTTGATGCTCTTTGTAAGAGACATCGAGCAGCGATTCCCAAGGGTTTTTGGGATGAAAACGCTGGCGAGTTGTTTGGTTCTACTACTTACATCTCTCTACTCGTATTATGATGACCGAAGCAAACAGGGTGAAGGGGAGGGAAAAGGATATCAGAGCATAGTGAGTTTGATTTCCTTTGGGTCATTTACATTGATGTGCAAGAGCTTGTCAAGACAAGTACAGCAACCTGGATTCGACTCTGGCATGTCGAATTTCTTTCTAGGATGTCTGGTATTAGCGATCATGAAAATGAACTTGAAAGTGGCTGTGGGTGTGGTGGGTTGTTTGCTATGTGTTGATGAG